AAAAACCGGAGGGAATTGTATTAGTCCTAAAACCTACTGAAAATTACACATACAATATCCCTACATGAGTCCGTGAGTACAGCTGAAGACTACATAACAAGAAACAGTGCCAGACAGGAGAAACCTTCCTTTGAGTTGTTGGCCAGGATAGTCCAAGAGACTCCCAAAATTACATAGGGTATTGCCACAGTCCTTGATTGCCTCCCAGAACTTGATGGTAAGACCCTATTGCTGAAGACAAGACATACTTTGGACACAGGATTTGGACTAATGGAACTGGAGCTGACCTGGAAGCCACTTCCCCTGAAGGCTAGCTCTCATAGCTTTGGAGAGCACTACACAAGCTGGTACATCAATCGATGGTCCAACCCCAGCTTCAAGGCTTAAAACCACATCAATGACCAGCACAGCAAACAACTTTGGTGCAGTAGTGGCACTTTTATATTGGGGGTAGTCAACAGCTATCTAATTGGACTTAAAGCCCACTCAATGGGAGGGTACTGTAAACCTAGCCAAATATACATAGCTGGAGGGGTCATAGATCTTAGAGAAAACACAAGGCTCTTGTATCACTAGACAAATGTAATTTCTTACTATGTGCAAAATATGGAGCCTTATACTTACAGAGAAGTATCCCAGACACCACCCATCAAAGTAGCTTCTTTTTCAACAGGCAGATATTATTACAGTTATACCACTGGTCACACATAGAGATTCTCTGTGAATTGTCCAAGTCTAAGTGGCACATCTAGGATGAAACCTCTACACCTAAAGCTCACAGAACACAGAAAAAGGGATGATGAGAACACTAACTCATCTTTTAGTTTTCATCAATGAAGCTCCCTCATGCAACAGAGGGCCAGGAACACAAAAATCTACAAATGGCCAAAATGCAGAGAATTTAAGAGTTGACAGAGTGTGGGTCTTTGGACAGGTCTCCTATATTGAGGTCCATCCACCCAGGGTTCAGGGACCATTGTGGAAGAGGGGTGGGGGAGGAAAGAGTGTAAGACCCAGGGAGGAGGTGCATGACTATATGGAAATAGTCTTACAGGCACCAGGGACCCTTCTCATACAAACCTACAGCAATTGTGTCAGCATGCACAAGACCCATGCAAACTTAGGCAGACAAAAACCCAGCACAGAACTGGAAATGAACAGCAAGCCCCAATCTTAGTCAAAGAATTATTAGCAGCTGATTACTGCTGGGTGAGGAAGAGTTGATCTTGAAGAGAGAGACTTTAGATAGGCTGACTAAACTTTGGTGGATGAACCTGTACTGAGGGACATCTTTGAACACTAACTTTACATAATAGGCCTTAATACAAATGACAGAGCTCCAGTGGGCTTGCTATGGGAGGATGCCAAAGGGGAAGGGGGTGTAAAGATCATTTTATGTATGAACTACACAAAAATTCAGCAAAAAATTATTTTAAAGGGGGGGAGGTCATGGGAACCAGCCACACCCATTCACTTTGCTGCTTTCTTATTAAAAAATATTTTATTATTTTTATTTCATATGTATTGCCTGCATGTACGTAAGTGCAACCATGTCATGCAATGCCCATGGAGGTCAGAAGAAGGCGTCAGATCCCATGGAACTGGAGCTACGGACAGTTGTTAGCCACCATGTGGGGTCTGGGAACAGCCAGTGTTCTTAACTGCTGAGCTATCTCTCCAGCCCCTTACTTTGCTGCGTTCATACCAGGAAGCAGAGGTTGAAATGATCAAATAGGCTCACCACAGCAACAATTTCTATCTACCCATTAGAGAAAGTTTGTCAACTTCTGCTCTACTCAGTGCCTCCCCTTTCTTACTGTCTATTCATCTTTCAGAAGTTCAAGGCCAATTTCAAGTATATAGCAAGTTCCAGGCTACCCTGGGCTACATTAAACTCAAGAAACCAAATGAAGGCTCAGTGGTTATGAGTATGTACTGCTCTTCCAGAGGATGCAAATTTATTTCCCTGCACCCATGACTGGCAGCTTAAAAACACCTCTAACTACAGCTTCAGGGGATCCAACACCCACTTCTGGCCTCTGCAGGCACCTGTAATCATATGCACAAACTCATTCTCAGAAATATGCACATACACATAAATTTTTAAAAAAGTAAAATAAATCTTTTTAAAAAGAGAGAGAGAAGGAAGGATGGAAGGTAGGAAGAAAAGAAAAAAGAATGGTCACAAACTCATTTAAAACTTCTCAGTGGGATCAACAAGATGGCTCCATGAATAAAGGTGCTTGCTGTCGAGACTGCCAGCCTGAGCTCCATCACTGAAACCCACATGATAGAAATGACTCCCTCAAGTTGTTCTCAGACATCCACATGTGCACTGTGATACACACACACACACACACACACACACACACACACACCATCACATACACACACACATACACACCATCACATCACACACTAAATAAATTCAAAAAGTGTTTTTAAAAACCTTCTCAGTGGCTTTCTGCTGCTAAAGATAAATGACAGCTCCTTACCACAGCCTGCTGATGAAGACCCACATGGCCCAGCACCACTGTCTTCCTCACTTGCTGCACTTCAAATACAATGAACATTCTAGCCCCAAATATGCTAAGGCCTTTCCTACTAAAAGCTGAACTCTGTGTTAAATGTTCAGCTTCTGACACGATTAACTCAAGTGCATCCTGCAAGACTCTGCGGAAAGCTGACCTTGTCAGGCAGACATTGCCCTAGCTACTCTATGCAATTAGATATCCCTGGTTATTCTCAGCTACAGCACTCACTTTGTTGTCTGCAGTTATCTTAGTATATAACTGTATTTATTTGCTTGTCGGTTTATACCTAAGGGAAGAGCACTTAACTTAGCACTATGTATTTAGGGTCTGATGCAGTACTGGGTAGATGTGCATGTGCATCTAAAAGCACTTTCTATATAGGGAAGGAGGGCTCAGAAGACTCATTAGAAAATGCCAGGTAGAGGACCTCCATGATTTTACTGATCTTACTGAACTTTTTCAATTAGTGATTCCTAAAAGCAACAGGACTCAGAGTTTCAAGATTGAAACATTGAGTGAACAATCTGAAAGATAACAGAACTATACAAGAATAGTTTTTCTCCTACAGTCAAGTATACAAAGAAGATAAGGAACAAAGAAACTTCTCAGAAAAAACCATGTACTTTAACCTAGGATTTAAAAACTTCTAACAGCAATGGAAAAAGAAATATAACTTTTATTTTTTGTCTTTTTGAGACAGGGTCTCCCTGTAGCTCCAGCAGGCCTGAAACTCAGTATGTAGACCAGGCTGGCCTTGGTTTCACAGAGATCCACCTGCCTCTGCCTCTGCCTCCCAAGTGCTGGGATTAAAGGCGTGCACCACCACACCCAGCTAGAAATAATAATTTTGGAAGAATTTTATTTTGGGCATATGTGGGCCTATCTCTAGTTCTAATATCTCTCATTTGCAGGTAAAGAAACCACAGTTTAGGACTGGGCATGATTACACATGTTTTTAAACACAACACTCAGGAGGCAAAAGCCTGGGATTAAAGGCGTGCACCACCACACCCAGCTAGAAAGTCCAGCTAGAAATAAAACTTTATGAAATTTTATTAATACTGAGGCAATATGACAGGTCATGATGGTATTGATGGACTACCAGAATTTTGAGGAAACAGGCCACATTCCTCAATTTCAAAAAAGGAAATGAAGTCACTAGTTTCTTTCTTCCACTCTCAAATCACATCATAGATCCTTCCATGTACTTTTCTTCATCATATTAGTTCTGAGTGGGGCAGTATTGCCTTTTAGAGAACATCAGTTAATGTCTGGAGACACTGGTGGTTGTTACAACTAGAGTGCTACTGGCACGTGGTGGGTACAAACTAGGGATTCGGAAACTTCCTTCAACATTCACATCAGTCCCAGGACCAACAGGCATTCACAACTGTAGTCAGAAAGCCTGCTTGACAGGAATGTGTGATCAAGATCCTAATGTGATATACCTGATGTGCACAGGGCTGCCTGTGAGGACACACTAGAACTGATCAGAGTGAGTGTCTTAGGGGAAGAGGAATGGATGGGAGGTTTTCTATGATCTCAAGAGACTACCTTCAAGTACAGAACACTATGCAATGGGGAAAACAAAAAGACCATATGCTCCAGAAGGAACCCTGAAGTAGTACTCGCAAAACCTGGGAAGTGTCACTGCAAACTGCGGAACATGAGCTCATCACTAACCCTGAGCTTGCTCCTTCCTGTGTAGAATGGGAGGGTGATGCACCTCTCAGTGCACACAGATCTGCAAAGATCAATGAAATTATTTAGAGGAAGCACCTTCCAAGTCACTGAGATCCTTTCAGTCACATGCAACTCTTTGTAAAGGTCCTGGTGTACTGAAGACAAGACTAAATTATCAGTAAGACCTGTACCACCATTCCCTTTCTGAATCACATGTCACTGTTGTCATTGTGGCTGTGGGAGTTGTTCCCTGATAACAGTCCTGAAATCTTCTATTTGTTGCCTATCCAAAGAAGATGAACAACTCAGAGAAAGTCTTATTGTGAGCCACACAGACCACCGGTCATCCATAGTTATCTGGTGATTTCTGTGAATGCAGTGAAGTTTAAGAAAACATGTTTCCTGTATCATTTGGTTTGCTACAAAATAGGTAGAGGAATTTTAGCTCTACTAGAAACCAGAGATTACTGTGTGATTGGCTGCCTTATTAGAGAAAGGATAGTAAAAACACTCATCAATACAGATCATGTTTTGTTTAACTAAGTCTTTTGTCTAAAAGCTGGGCCATGTGAGCACGGGCCAAAGAGCTGAGTCATGACAACACAAACTTTGATCCTGGTACCTTTGAATGGCAACTATAACCAATGCATAGTAGCTGCCAGGAAACATGATTAATATGATGATATGAAGTGTCCTTTTAGCAACTGTGAGCAGCAGAAGTGAACACCAGGGCAGAGTGATTGAGGTGCCAGTCATGGAAAGAAAAAGGAAACAGTGTCTTACGTGATGTACTTGTTGTAGAGGATGAAGGCATGTTCAATGTTGCCTTCTTCAGAGTAAACTGATGCCATACGGATGATCTCAACTCCAGAGCGGAAGTAGCGACGGGGTGGAATGTCTTCATTTAATTCAATTGCACTCCCAAGTTGGGACAAAATCCTCACCCGATCTTGGGGTGGGAGGCTGACATCTCCATGGTCAGACATTAGGACCAAGTAGTTCTGTGACAGAAAACCGAAAACAGCATTACAACCAGGGCCCTGCCATCTCAGCAGTCCAGCTCAGAGTCAGGCTACCCCAAAACTCTACCCTAAGAAGAAACTAAGGAAAAAGAAATACCATATGCTATGGTTCATATCAAATAAATTCTCCATCCTACCCACAAGAAAGCCCAAATCATGAAGCAGGGACTGGCAGGCTCAAATCAACTCTTGTCCTATAGTTCAATGCTACAAAAAAACAAAACAAAACAAAAAAAAATAGGGCAAGCATGAATGAGTTCTGTGAATGAGTTCTGGCATTAAGTTGATCATTCTCTGTGATTAGGAGATCTGCCAAGAGTCCTGTGGGAATTAGCAAGTATCTTCTATTTGATCCATTATTTCTTTGTCCAGAAACTTCCACTCACCCAAGTACAATTCACCTGGCAGAGTGAATTCAGTGAATTTTCATGAAGATGACTACATACTTCATGTTGGATCGTTTTTCTTTAATCTGAGAATAAGTGATATTACTGTGATACACTCTTATTTGAGCACAAAGTTTGCTAGGGGAGCGGTTCTGGGGATGGATGCTCATAACTCTTCTCACTAAACCACTATTTGGTTCAGTCCATGACATTGACCATTTTCAGGACAAAGTTTTTAGAGCTTGAAATCATGAATGTACTTATCTTCACAAGCAAAGCACTCCTTGAATAAAACGGCAGATTTTACCTCAGATTGGGGGAGGGGCATCTCTAGGCGTTTCTTCACATTGGGTCTACAACTTCAGTGATTCCACGGTTTTCCTAGATACTTGTGCTTTTAGACTCCAAGCTCCATGATGCCATTATTCTTCATAATCTCCTAGAACTATCTGGGTAGTTGGTGTGTATTGAATTACACCCAACCCAACCAGCCATCTCTAGAATGTGCCAGCTACAGCAGAGCTCATCTTGGAGTCTTGGGTGCCTCTTGCCTTTCCATCTGTATTCTCTACTCCTCCCAACCTTAGACTTCAGTCAGGATTCCCACCTGCCCAGGGACCCACAGGCTACAGTTCTCTTTGTTCAGCCATTGCTTTTCTCAGTTCTGTTCATCCCGCCCCCAGAGGCAGTTCAGCCCCCAGCGATAGTTCAGTCTTGGCCAATTTTACTTTATCTTTCTTCAACCTTTGGGTCGCATTACCTCTACATAGTTTCCCCACTTACCCCCTTACTCCTGGGAAAGGCTGGGGGCTGCTAGGAACACAGGGGCATTGCAACTGGCACACAGCCTCTTGCTAATCTAAACTTGACAAGGTCCCTAACTGATGACCTCTGAGCAACCCAGCAGATCTCACTGAAACAGGATGTGGACATCTGTGCACCTCTGGAGGAGAGGTCCTTGTGGGTGCATAAGGGAACAGCCTGCCCAGGCCAGCGAGATGTTCTGCAACAAGGGCTTCAGCCACACTGCAGAGGAAAAGGCAACTTTCACAAGGAAGGAGACAGAACCGGGACGGGGAATTGGAGGAGGCGAAGGGAAGCTGCAGGAGAGAGCAGAGGTGCGTGTGCAGTGGAGAAGGGATGGAGCAGCAATGCAGGCGGCACCCTTCCCAGAAGGAACTCATTGAAGGTTTTAGGTCTCTTGGACGCAGAGTGCTGAGCACAGGGCCTGGTAGGTCCTGCACCAGCCGGGGTATACCGGGGCAGGCCAGGAACTGGAGCGGAGGGCTGTAAGCCCCACACTCACCGCACCCCCGCCCCCCGGTCCCACAGCATCCCAGGGACCCGTCCACGCCCGAAGCCCCCGTCCCACAACATCCCAGGGACCCGTCCACGCCCGAAGCCCCCGTCCCACAGCATTCTAGGGGACCAGTCCCCACCTTTCCAGTAGGATGACAGTCGGAGCTTCCGGAAACGTCACCTCCGATGCCACGCCTACTCTCGCCAGTCTGTCAATTATTCTCCAAGGATTTAGCACTTGGTGTGCGGAACGGGTGGGTGGAGCTGGAATCGTCCACCAATGAGGAGCAAGCTCTACAGCTGTCATCCTCTTAAGGGAAAATGATCCCGGAAGAACGAGGAACCTAGTAAATGAAGGAATCTATGACCAAACAAATGCTGTTTTTAAAAAATATTACTCTTATTTCGGGTAGGAGATTCCTATCAAGAACTCCTCCATCATAGAAATTATTCCAAGAGGGATTGCTGATTTAGCTTGTCACCCGTTTCAGGTGACATCACCTCTTTAGATAGAGCTTCACTGACCACCCATTGCAAGAAGCCACCCAGCCACCCCCTGTCAGTTGGTCTTGGTATTTAAAATTTTTGTTTTTCTGAAATTTCACACAGGTATAAAATGTATATTGGTCATATCTACTCTCTCCAGCTCCCAATAATGAGTTCTCCTGATTTTTAAATACTTATTTATTTTGTGCACACGGGTGTGTGTGCGCACCCAGGAGTGTGGAGGAGGTCTCAGAGGACAACTTGTGGGAGTCAGTTCTCTCTTTCTACCAGGTGGGTTCTGGGGATTGAACTCAGGACATCACTTGCTTGGTGGCAAGTGCCTTAACCTGCTGAGTCATCTTGCTAGCTCATGCTGGTCCTGTTTTAATTCTCTTCATAGTTCCTACCACATTCTGATCACCCATTAGAATATGAAGTTTTGGAGAAAGGGAGATTGACTGCTTCTAGTTGTATCCTCAGTGCCCACAATGTCTTGTGGCTCCAGACATCAAAACATGCTGGATGTGCAGGTATTGTTGAGATAAAGGTTGTCTTATTGTCCCCCAAACGAATTACAGGTATGAACAAGCCAATTCTGATGAAAGTGGCTATTACCAAAAAATTGATGCTACCTGATAGATCTTCATGAGACAATTAAGAGCTAGAAGCAGAAAGTATCAAGGTTGGGTGCTTGCATCAATTTAGTGAATATTTGTTGAGTATCTTTCATGCTTACAAGTCTATGTCAGCACAAGAGAGACAACGAGAAAACAGGGAAACTCAGTTCCTGCTGCTTAAGGTTTTCATAGAGGAAGGCTGAGAGACAGCAGAAGGAACCCCATGTTTAAGAGATGTGAGCCCCCTGTACTGGAACTCTACAAGGGCCTGTTTTGAATGTTGCTAGCAAGTGGGGATGTTGTGAGTGAAATGTAATGTATTCTAAAGATAAATTGTTCATTATTGATATATTTGCTATGAACCCACTGGGAATAAAAATGACAGAATTTGAGAAGTAAACACTTGGGAAATGATGTGGGATTGATTGGCTCAAATATAGGAAAATACAGCAAATGTACCCAAGCCTTTTAAATTAGTGATTATTGTGTGCACATTACTTACCTGATACATATCTCCCCAGCTATAGAACACATCACATTTAGCTGGCTCAAATTTCTGAGTGCATGACTCATTGCAACATTGGGGTGGATTTGTGGTTCTGGGATCCATTTTGTTTGAAAATGGGCCTCTCCTGTCACCAAGAACAAACTAGTTAAGAAAGTATGCTTTTACACATGCCCGGAAAGATCTGTAATGTGTGTATGTATTGTTAAAATAAATTCTTAATCCAGGCATAGTGATACATGTCTATAATCTCAGCATTTATTTTTCTTGAGTTTTTTTTCTTGAGTTTTCAAAAATCAAACAAATTTAGGGGCTGGAGAGATGGTTCAGTGGTTAGGAGCACTGGCTGTTCTTGCAGAGGACCCAGGTTCAATTCCCAGCACCCACCCGGTGGCTAACAATCATCCTTAACTAGAATTAAGTTCCAGGGGAATTTGAAGAGCACACTTAAATACATGTAGGCAATACATTCATACACATAAAATAAAAATATCAAATAAAATGTTTTTAAAAATCAATGCTTAATGTGTACATGAAAGGGCCAGAGAGATGGCTCAGTGGTTAAGAGCACTGGCTGCTCTTGAGGAGGACCTAGATTCAATTCCCAGCACACAAATGGAAGCTAACAATAATCTGTAACTCCAGTTCCAGGGGATTCAATGCCTTCTTCTGACTCCATGGGCATTGCATGATATGGGTGTACTCACACACATGCAAGCAATACACTCAGGCACATAAAATAAATATATTTTAAAATTATGTATTTTCTCCCTCTGTTGCCTGCTAATTAGCTATAAATTGCAGAATTCGTTTCTTAATAATTCAAAGCCTTTGACTTAGGTATTAGTCTCATAGTTGAAAATTTAAAAATTTACAAAATTGGGCTGGAGAGATGGCTCAGTGGTTAAGAACACTGGTTGTTCTTGCAGAAGACCTGGGCACCCACATGGCAGCTAACTGTCTGTAACTCCAGTCCCAGGAGATCCGACAGCCTCTTCTGACCTCCTCAGGCATTGCGCAACACAGGTGCACTTACCTACATGCAGGCAATGCATGCACACACATAAAAATAATAAATTTTTAAAAATTGAAAAAAAAAACAAATTTACTAAGTTAAATGCTAAGAAAGATGGTTATTTTAATACATACTTTGGGTGAGGGATTTTATCATTTTCTGGAAGACAGGATTGGGTGGTGAAGATGTCAAGAGAGCCATAGCATCCAGAATGGCTGAGATCTGGGCAGGTAGAAGCCTGCAGACAGACACGACAGTCCCTCTTTCCTCAGGCTCTTAGATTAGGGAGATCATCCTTATGGGTTAGGTAAGGTTGGACATGCATCTTTTTCTTCTGCTCTCATTATATTTCTTTCTTTATTGCAAAGCTGTTCCTTGTACTAGCCTTCATTTTGCATTCTTATACTCATGGATTCCACTTCCTATCAACTTCCAGAAGCAGGGCTCTTCTTTTCAGTGTCCAGATGCATTGAAAAATGAATTCTGCCTGTTAGAACAAACAACACAGAGGCAGAAAAAGCAACCGGCTGCAAACCTTTCAACTTTGGTTCCAATTCTTCTGCCCATTCTTTGCGGCCTCTTGCTCCTTGGGCCATGCAGACATCCTGCTACCTGGTCTTGTATGCATGGAACGTATTGAAGATACTTTCCCTCTTCTTCCTTTTTCGATATGGGGGTCTCACTCTGTAGTCCATCCTGGTCTAAAACTCACTATGTAACCCAAATTGGCTTCAAAGTCATTAGAGATTCTCCTGAACCAGCCTCTTAAGGACCAGGATCACAGGTTTGAGCCACTACACCCAGCTGCCTTCTCTCTTCTTCTGCAACAGAAACTGGTATGGCAGTTATGGTGGCTTACTCCCTTCACAGATAGCCAGTATAGAATCTTGGGCCTCCAGCATTCTCTGCATGCTTGTGTGCTGGGCCCCGCAAAAATGGAGAGAACAGAAAAAAAATGACATAAGTGAAGCCTAGAGGGGTATATGTCCAGATGAAAAAAAGTCGTGTGGATTTCTTTTTCCTGTGGGAAATGAATCAAAACACCTTGCCTACTTTAATATTTTCAAAACTTACAGTGGTTTATATGTAGCCAGATAGAAACAGAAACAGGTATGAATGCTGCATACTGGATGGAAAATATTAAATATTTTCTCATCTTGCTTTATGTCCTATCTCTTATTTATCTCTCCCATTGATGTGCTTGTAGACAATAGTTGACTTTTCATGGTTCATATACACATTCATATACATTTCATGTTTAGCTGATGACAAACAACACAAAGATAATAATGTCTAATATTCTTTTCTCAAAAACAGCAAACAAGGAGTTGGAGAGATGGCTCAGTAGTTTAGAGCATTTACTGCTCTTACAGAGGACCAGGTTGGGTTCCCAGCACCCACATGGTAGCCCAAAACTATCTGTAACTACAGGTTCAGGGACTCTGACACCTTCCTGGGACCCCCTTGAGTATCAGGCATGCATATGGTGCACATACACATATGCAGGCAAATACTTATATACAGAAAAAAAATCTTAAAAAGTCAACAATCAGTTGGGTGTGGTAGTGTAGATCTTTAATCCTAGCACTTGAGAGGTAGAGGCAGGTGGATCTCATGAGTTCGAGGCCAGCCTGGTCCTACATAGTGAGTTGCAGGATAGCTGGGGCTATAGGGAGACTCTATGTAAAATCCAACAATCAAACCAGTTAACTATGTCCTTAAATACTCTTTAAGGTATGAGAGATGAACCAGGGCCTCATGCATACTAGGCAAGTGATCTACCACTGAGCTACATTCCCAGTGCCCCCTGCAAAACTTCTTTACATAAAATTATTTTCATCTTGCATAGTGGTGAGCAAAACACTGCAGGGGAAAGGCCCTGCTTCACAGGAACCCTGGGATGCCTTTACCTAACCAAATCCTTTTAGGGCCTAAGGCAAATCTATCCATGAAGCCTGCCATGTTAGTCACTTTTCATTGCTCTGATATAATACCAGAAGGAATAAGTCAAAGGAGCAAATATTTGTTGGGGCTCACAGTTGTGTAGGTTTCAAAGCAACACTGGACCACTGGTGAGGCAAAGCATCATCAGGAACATGTAATG